AGTCACTAGAGTGGCTTTGTGCCTAAGGCAGGACTAAAACTCCCAGTCTCCCAGGTTCTAGCTTGATGTTATTCCTAATATAATCCTATAAATCCACCTCTCTGTACCTGTTAATTTAAAAATCTATTGGACCCGACTGTACATTATCCCCAGCCAGCATTGCCCTTTGTATGCTGGCTGGAAACAGCCTGAGCTCTTGCATATGCCCAATTGAGAGAAACTACTATACAGTAATACTTAGTTTGGTGTAAACTTTATTAATGTAGTGTTTTCTTTAGAACAGAGGATTTGTATTGATGTTTCTACAATAGGCTGGGACTTTATGAAGTGAATATGAGAAAGTGGCTTGCCAAAAGTCATCCAAGGAATTTCTATGGCTGAGGGTGGACTTTTAATTGTGGTCTCCCAGTTCCTATTCCAATATCTGACTGCTACAGTCCTAGCATTGGGCAGGGATAATGAGGCATCCACCTTTGGCATGTTGGCTTTACAAGGAAGCAGTACAAAACCTTTCCAGCAATTTGTCCTGGGCATCCCAGCAGCTCTGCTGTCTGGGAGGGCAAGAACAACCTTTTTTAAAAAATATATTTTTATTAAGTTTTTTTTATTACATCATAAAATATCTCAATTCAAACAGCATTCTTGGCATCCATACAAGTTCTTAAATTAAATATCATAATACATTACACTACGTTTAACTAATATTAAATAATAATTTCCACTATAATTGTTATCTTTATATAATTTACATATTTACATTTTACTCTCATAAGGATTATTTCAATTAAATTTCTTGTCTTCCTTCTTAGTTCTGTTTGTTAGCTATTTATACCAGTTGTTCCAGATTAAAAAGAATTCTGAGTCATCTTTTTCTTTCAATCCCAATGTTAACATATTCATCTCAGCACTTTCTGTTATTTTATGTATTATCAATTCTTCGTTGGGAATATTTGGTGTTTTCCATACCTGCGCAAAGGCTATTCTGGTGGCTGTTGTAATGTGTAGCAATAAATATTTTACCTCTTTTGGTAGTTTATCCTTGATGATTCCAAGAAGGAAGGTTTCCGGTCTGAGCTCAATCCGGTAGCCAGTAATCTCTTGTAACCAATTTTTAATTTGGATCCAATATGTCTTGTTCTCGGGGCATAACTACCACATGTGGTAAAATGTACTGTCAACTTTTTTACATTTCCAACATTTAGGGCTTATGCTGGGGTAGATTTTTGCCAATCTCGTTGGAGCTAAATACCATCTATAAAACATTTTGTATATATTTTCTTTGTATGCTGCGGATACTGTTAACTTATAATTTATGTTCCATATTTTCTCCCATTCCTCTAATTCTATAATATGTCCAAAATTCTGTGCCCATGCAATCATGGTACCTTTGACTGTTTCCTCTTCCATTTTGAAATCTAATAAATATTTATATATTTTAGTTATAAATTTTTGTTCCAATCCCATTAATATTTTATCTAATTGGTTCTGCCCTTTGTCAAAACCAAAATCTTTTAGATCTTTTTTATATTTATTTTGGATTTGCAAATATGGCCACCAATCAATTATAATTCCATTTTCTTTTAGTTCTTGATTTGATTTTAATTTCCCTTGACTATCTAATAATTCTTCATAACTTACCATTTTCCTTAGTCTAATCTATTTGGATGAATTATAGCTTCCATGGTTGACAGCCATCGTGGGATTTCCATATAGTGCTTACCTTTAATTTTTTTCCAGGTTGTGATCAATGAGTCTCTTATTAAATGCTGATTAAAATAGGTATGCACTTTACTTTTGTTTTCCCACAAAATGCATGCCAACCTATCAGGAGATCAGGTCCTTCTAATGTTAATATCCTCTTATCTTTTAATTTAACCCAATCCTTAATCCAACTCAGCACCGCTGTGTCACACTTACACGCTGCCTGATAGTAGAGCTCCCATTCTGGTAGTCCAAAACCGCCTCTGCTCCTATTATCTTGTAATAGTTTCATCTTAATACGCGGCCTTTTGCCCAACCAGACAAATTTAGACGTCATTTTATTTAATTCTATAAAGAAAAATTTCCCTAACTTAATTGGGATCATTTGGAATAAATATATTAATTTTGGTAGTGTATTCATTTTCAGTGCTGTTCTTCCTAATAGAGATAGTTTCAATTTGGTCCATAATTCCAATTCTTTCCTAATTTGTTTAATCAATTTAATATAATTGTCCTCTTTTAGTGATGAACATCTGTGTGATTACCAAATTCTCAGATATTTCACCTTTTTTACTATTTGCAGTCCCATTATATTTTCTAATTCTGCTTTCTGTTTTGTTATACAATTTTTGACTACCATCTTAGTTTTGTTTTTGTTTATTTTAAAAACTGCCACTTCCCCAAATTTTTCTATTTGTTGCAACAATATTGGTCCTGAATTCATTGGATCTTCTACTATAAATACCAAATCATCAGCAAATGCCTGAACTTTATATTCCTCATTTCTAATTTTAATTCCTTGAATCTCTGGGTTTTGTCTGGTTTTGTCTGGTTGCAGCTTGTAACACTTCTAAAGACAAGATAAATAGCAGAGGCGATAGTGGACACCCTTGTTTCACTCCTTTTGCGATTTCGAAGTCTTCTGTGCGATCTCCATTTAGTAATACAGTTGCTTTCTGATTTGAGAATATTTCTTGTAATGTTTTTTTCTATATTAGTACCAAAATTTAACTTTTTAATTTGATATAGCATGAATTTCCAATTAAGATTGACAAATGCTTTTTGCGCGTCTAGGAAGATTAAAGCTGCCTGTTTTTCTGTGTGAGCTTCATAATATTCGATCAAATTTAGTGCTGTTCTAATATTGTTTTTAATTTGTCTATTTGGCAGGAAACCATTCTGGTCTGTATGTATGAGTTCACTCAGAATTGGTTTCATTCTTTCTGCCAATACTGTCATAAATACTTTATAGTCCATATTTAGCAACAAGATTGGCCTATAGTTCACAATTAATTGTTGATCGGTACCATCTTTTGCAATTAAAGAGATGTATGCCTTGGACCAAGACCTCAGAAGTCTAGCTTGTATTAATGCCTCATTGTATAATTCCAGTAGTATTGGTTCAAATATTTCAGATAAGTTTTTATATAGTTCGCCGGGTAAACCATCCGGACCTGGTGTTTTATTATTTTTTGTTTTTGTATTGCCTTTTGTAACTCTATTAATGTTATTTCTTTGTTAAGTGTTTCTCTGTTTTCTTCAGAGATTGGGCTCAGACTGTTTCCCTCCAAATAGTGTCTAATGTTTTCTTCCATAACTACTTCTTGTTTATAAAGCTCGCCAAAATACCTTTGTGCAATTCTCTTTTTCTCCTGCATCTGATAATATACTGTCCCTTCCTCATCTTTAAGTTGCTGAATCAATCTTTTCTCTTTTTCTGTTTTTAATTTATGGGACAACCACCTTCCTGGTTTGTTTGCTGATTCAAAATAATTGTGTTTAAGAGTTTTTAAGTTATGTGCATTTTGCTCAATGTCTATCAAATTTAGTTGGTGTCTAATCATTCCTATTTTAGCTTCCATATTTTTTGGATCTTTTTGGAGCTCATATTCAATTTTTTTAATTCTTTCTTGTAATTCATTCTGTTTCTTCCATTTTTCCTTGTTTTTCTTAGCTATATAAGCTATTGATATACCTCTCACGAAGGCCTTTGTGGTGTCCCATAAATTTTGTTAGGTAGTATGTTGTTTTAGATTAACCTTAAAAAATATTCCTTTTCTTTTTGTTCTGTCCTTTCCATATAATTTTTACTGGACTATGATCAGCCCATACATTGGGCATTATTTCTACTTCACTAATATCTTTCTCAATTGTCCCATTCACCCACACCATATCAATTCTAGACCAAGATTTTTGTGGACTAAAATAAAATGTAAATTTCTTCTCATTTGGATTTCTCTTCCTCCAAATATCTTCCAAATTAGTCTCTTGTATTAGATCAAAAAAGGGTTTTGGTAGAATTCTTTTTTTTCTTCTTAGTCTCTTCTGTACTGATATAATCTTTTTTAACATCAACAATGGCATTATTTTATCATATAATCTCTTATAAAATTTCTTCTGATTATCACTGGGGGCATATATCCCCACCAGTAGTAATTGTTTTTGATGTAAGTTAATTTGTATCATTAAAATTCTGCCTTGCTCATCTGTGTAAATTGTTTTTTGCTTTTATCCCTGTTTTTACATAAATTGCAACCCCCCCTTTTTTTTGATCTGCCAATGCTGTGAATAGTACACCTAATTTGGGGTATTCTAGATATTTTCTATGTTGTTTTTGAATATGTACCTCCTGTAGGCATATAGTATCAACATTTTGCTTAGTTAATTTGCTTAGTATTTGTTTCCTCTTAATCTGGGAGTTTAATCCATTGACGTTTATTGAGAGTAGTTTAATCTGTTCTTCCACTGTTAATTCTATGTCTACCTATATCTTCTGTTGGTTCTTGCTTCTCTTTGGTGTCTGGGCAAGAACAACCTTTACCAACACTGGTTTTGACACCAGGCAGCAAGATATTTTGGTGTCTATTTTGGTGTCATCAAAAAGAGAAAGGAAAGGTGAAGGACCTTCAACTTTAGATAGTTAGATAGATTATTGTTTGTTGCAGGTGCCATCAGGTAGGGGACATTTTTAATGGATAGCAGGGTAATTCTCATAACTTCTCCCTTGAGAATTTTACTTAGCTTGGGTCTCACTTCCTAAACTAGACATGCTGAATCATGGCTTCCTGTCTAAGACACAAGGAAACATGGTCTATGAACAATATATGGATCCTGCAGCAAGATGGGGAGCCAACAAATTTAATAAATAAATAATGCATAATGAAATTTATTAAATTTATATGCCACCCATCTCCCTGATAAGGCAACTCTGATTGACTTGGGTTCATATAGCAAGTGACAACAAGCCATCTACATTTTGGCCTAATGAGTTGTATAACTCTAATCATAGAAAGAATATATATTTGTCAAAGTGAGTTTTACAGAAGCTGTAATTGGAAAACAGAGAGCTGAGCTGATATGTGCACACCACCTTCTTTTAGGTAGCATATCATTTGATCTTGCTTCACACTTAGGACTGAAGTCTCCATATTCCATGGTTGTGGTCCTCCAAGGCAGCTATTTGTTATCATCAATGGAGCAGGTGTTTTTTGAACATCTAGACTCCCAGTAGCTGTGACAAAACTCAAGGGCATGCTTTGAACCCTGGACTGCTCCCTCTGGAGGGACTGGCAAACATTTGAAGTCAGTATCTTCCAGCATCCAGGGTAGCAAGGACAGAAAGGGGTGGGTGTGGGTTAAAGTGTAACTAATCTAGGGAAAGTGATTTTAAACAAGTATTTCTTCATCTATCAAATGCTGAAAATATAGAATAAGATTTCAGATTAATTCTCTGTGTTTCTCTCTTTTGGGCAATCTATTTAATGACGATTTGTCTAAAGAGGCGGTTATGAGTCTTAACGAGGCAATGGATGAGCAGGAAAAAGTGAGAGAAATGGCTGATTGATACTAAGAGGCCACAAAAGGTAATTTGAATAAGACATAATTTTAGACTAGATTTATTAAGTCTTTTTTTTCCCCCAAGCTGATTCTAGTGGCACTTACTTCCAAGTTCAGGTAGATCGGACAAGGTCCAACCACAACTGCAGGTCCCTTCCCCTCTGCCCGGCCACATATGGAGCGAGGATGAGTGGGTGTTTACACAGGACAAAACTGAGACTGGAGGAGTAGAAAAGCCTGACGATAGGTTGGCCACACCGAACGCGAACGTGCTGAGGGATGCTTTGTGACACTCCAAGGGCCTCAGATCCCTCCAGCGCACGATGGAAGTAACTGTACCAACGCGTTAGGCCGCCTGCTTTTAAAAAGAAGCACTGACAGGTAAAAGGAAATCAGCAAACGGGGACTCAAAAGGAGAATATATTCTGCTCCCCCTCCAGAAACAGCCTTGGTGTATATTCCCACTCCCCCTTGATCACGGGAGGACCTCCACTGAGCCCTGATTGGCTGGCTATATTGATTGATGGCACGCGCTTGAGGTTGCACTTATAAAAATCCTCGCGTGCCGCCCTTCAGTCTGCAGCCTCCGTCGGTGAGCGCAAATAAGTAGAAAGTGACTGTCACGGCGCAGCAGGAGCCAAAGGCGTGGTTGGGGAGCGAAAAACAAGGCAAAGACAAGTGGCCTCCCCTCACGCTTTTTCCGAGCCACTTTCCTGAGGGTCCGGGATGGAGTCGGTACTACTAGAGCACTTTCGGGCCGGGCCAGACTTCTTTTCGTCAGAATCTTACTTCGACGACCAGGAATTTCTCACCAACCAGTCTTCCTGTAACCCACTGGAAGGCGACGAGCTCCTGGAGGCAGAGGTGGCCTTACTGGGCCCGCCGTTCCACGAGTGTTACCACAGCGAAGGAACTGGTGGCGGCGCGGGATTCGAAGGCGTGCCCGACAGCACTCTGTGCTGCAAAGCTGCTCCGAGACCCTTTTCGGTGTGGTCCTCGTCGTCGACGTCGGCCAGTTTCACCTACGACTGCTGCGAACTAGCGGCCTCGCCCAGGGACAGCCTCAAGGCTTGTAGCGCGGCAGTGCGGCGGCGGGTGCGGTCCGAGGCCGAGCTGCAGCAACTGAGGCAGGCGGCCAACGTGCGTGAGCGGCGGCGCATGCAATCCATCAACGACGCCTTCGAGGGGCTGCGCTCTCATATCCCCACTCTGCCCTACGAGAAGCGCCTCTCCAAGGTGGACACACTGCGCCTGGCCATTGGCTACATCAACTTCCTCAGCGAGCTGGTCCAGTCCGACTTACCCCTGCGCAGCGCGGGCCGCGAGAACCCATGCCAGCCCAAGACGGTTATCTTCTGTCACCGGGGCACAAGTAAGTGCAGTGTGAGCCTCCCATCTCGGTCAAGCGCACTCCAAAGGAAAAGAGGAAGGGAAGCTCCTTGGCCACAGTGGCCTTGCTGCGGCTGTGGAAACTTTGCAGATGGCCGTCCTCAAGCGCACGCGCCCCATCCCCCCTAAATTCCCTTCCCTTCCCCGAGGAGTGAGAGAGATCGTCGCAACTTGCAACCTCGCTTTGAAACTCATTGACTTCGCACAAGAAATAGGTATCCAATAGTATTCCAATCGCCCTCGGATTTTCTCACTGACATGTCGGTCGGTAGCGTCTGCTACTGTTGCTGGTACCCACATCGATATGTACGAGCAGACACGGAAACTTTCACCCTCCCTTTTGCTTGCTAGTGAAATATGCTTGCACCGACCAGTGGCGGATTAAGGCTCACTGGTGCCCTAAGCACTGACAAATCTTAGTGCCCCACTCCTTTGTACATACAAGATTTTTTACACATCTTCATTGCTTTTTTTTTCTTTCTTAACTTTGTGGTGCCCCCTTGAGGCCTGCTTCCCAAAGTACGTGCTTAGTCTGCTTAATGGTTAATACATCACTGGCACCGACCCAAAGGCAATCCTTACATGGTCTGTTGATTCGTCACATTCAAATCGTTGCAGCACTGTCAGAAGATCGTTCTTGAAATCCAGCAATATACCACAGTATTAATGTCTGCATACAGTACAGTCAAAACAAATTGGGATTGAAATTAGGATGCTCCCTAGATAGCCTCTGCAGGAGCCCTCATCCATTGGGAAAGGCCAAATATTGTGCTACCTTTGCTTATCCAGCCTAGTGTCCTCCAGTTTTTGACTTCTGAAATCCCCAGCCAGTGTGACTTATAGGGATTAAAGTCCAACATATCTGAAGGGCAGCCAGGAGAGAATGTTATTATTTGGCTATGGGGAGAGCCTGCTTTCTCCCAAATATCGTGCTGGGGTAATGCAAGTATTCAATTTGCCAAAATATTGATAGATTATCCAAGAGCTAGATGAAGTGGTGTATGAGCTTAACACTACATTACATACTCAGAAAATGATGCCACAGTTAGCTGCGCACCTGCTACTCCCCTGTTACATGTGTGACAGAAAATGTGATGTCTTGGTTAAAAGTGTTTATTCTGCTCTGAGTATGGTGAGAATACTCAGTCTATTTGTCTCTCTCTCCACCCCCACACCCCACCCCCCACCTCCGCTTTCATTTCTCTTCCTTCTAGGAATACCTCCTCCAAGTGACCCAGATTATGGACTTCCTTCAATCACTGGGCATTCACTCTCTTGGACTGATGAAAAACAACTAAAGGAACAAAACATTGTTAGAACTGCTAAAGTCTGGACTCCAGAAACCCTGGGAAGTTAAACAGCAAATCATGTGTAAACAAAATTGAAAATGAGTCCCCATTTGATTTCATATATGTGAGAACATTTTAGACTATAAATATATTTTTGCCTGCATACAATTTTATTTGTGGAGTTCTTGGTGCTCTCTGAGCTTGGTTGTTTGCTCACAGACGTTTCATTATCTGACTAGTAATATCGGTGTGAACCTAGTTGGATAATGAAATATTTGCAACCAACAAACCAAACTCAGCATAAAGAACTCTGCAATACGATCCTGAACTACATATATTCTCTTTTATTGGAACAGTTTTACTTAAAATACATTTTTTCAAAAGTACTTTTCAATACAAGAAAGTATTCTAAGGACAATCAACTATTATTTACAGGGGGGGAATGGAACTATCCTTTTAATGTATAATTTTATCCTAATTTTAAAATATGCAATACTTTTAGATTCATCAACCAGCAACTTTTGGCAAAACCTCTTTGGTAGAAATGAAAATCCTTTCCAGGAAATGTGAACATAATTTATTATCACTTATTGAACAAGCTAATTATATTAAAGTATTACTACATTTTGATTAAAATTGATTTATTTGGAGGAGGATCTGTTCTCAACTAGAACTTTAGATTCAATTGTTCATAAAATATTGGAGACTTCTACAAATCCAGGAAAATATGTCTTGATGAAGGTTTTGGCTATGAAGCTATAACTATATTTAACAAATCTGTTTTTTAAAGACCACTCCCTCTTATTGGTTCTGTGCTGCAAAATCTTAATCTTGTATTACTGCATGGAGGAACCCAGTGCCTTCCAGATACATAAGGATTATAATTTCCAGAATTTCCAGTTAACTGGCAAATATGGAACTTTTGATCACATATCCATGAAGAGGCTGGTTAGGGAAAGTCTGGACTGCTATTCAGGATTGTAGCTTTCCTAGGAAATGCTTTACCTGAGAAGCTCCTGTAGTTTCATTTCATGTAAAGGTGCAGGAATTGGAAGTGTTTTAAAAGCCGGCAACTACATTGAAATAAATGCTTTATGTGTTCCAATAAGCTTTTTACTCCAAAAATAATTTATGGGTGGTAGAAAGTTGGGTGACCTCTCAGTGAACCTGGTTGCAATCCAGGTTCACTGGTTCACTACAGGGATATTTCTCTGTGTGAGAACGTTTGTTTTCTTATGCAGCAATCCATTTTACTATTGTTTTCAGTAATGTTGTATAGCCATCACTTCTATGGGTTTGTAAATTCACTGGATGCTTAGGATGAAAACTATCCCATTGGACCACTTATCAATATCTAGCACTTGTCTGAGCTCATAACCTAATCAGGACCTGTCCTGGTTAATACTTGGAAGAAGACCACCATATCCCAAAGATACATACTGTAGTATGATAATGCAACAAGTTTATTAGAGGAGGTGTGAAAACTCTCACTGAATGACTTCAAGTAGACTTTGGACAGCTACTGTATGTGTTGAGGATTGCCTGTTTATGGATTTCCAGCATATGGCAACTGTACACAAGTACACAAGGCTCTGAAGTAGTCAAGTCTGCAGAATGGTGCCAGTATTTTTTTCGAACTGTGACAAATTTGATGAGAATGTGTCCTTTATATTATCTAGGTATTCCACTTGTTTATTTTGGAGAAGTTGATATTTATAGTCCCTTTTAATCTTTACATTCTATGAATTTGTTTTTAACTGTTATTTTGTGATTGTAGTAGAGATGATTCTGCATATCCACATGAGTTCCTGGGAAGGAGGAGAAACATCACGTCTAAGAATTTCACAGAATATACTTCAAAAAGTTACTCCTATTTCTAAAAGTATATTTAATTGCAAACAGTAGTAGCAACAACACTTTCAGAGGCAATTGAAAAATTGACTGCTGTACCACTGGGGACTTGAATCCCTGGGGCCAGATTCAGTCTTATCCAGTAATAAGTGCACCAGACAGTTCACTGTAAGGTTCACTTTTACCAGTGTATAAATTAGTTATAAAGGCAATCTACCTTAGAACTTTGTTAGCGAGATCTGCGACTAACCTAAAGGCACAGGAAAAACTTACCAACATGCAAAAGATTTTCCAGCTATGTTTCTTCTACCCCAAATTCCACCACAGTGTGTGTATGTAGTGTGGTGTATCGTAAAAATAACTCAATAAAAGAGGAGCACAGACAAACCACAAGCAATAAATCCTACTTTGAGATCAGAGGTTTATTTCATGAACAATCTGGAACATGAAAAGCCATCATAACATAATAACATTTCAGTAAGATAATACTTACAAACAACAACTCATTGCAATGAGGTCCACCGACATGGCTGAGTCCGGCAAGGAGTAGCCATGGCAGTGGCCCTGAACACATCCTAAGACATTATTTTTATACTTTTCTGCACACATTTCACAACTTACTTCTCTGTTCTTTCTTACTGACAGTCTCCACATATACCCGTGTACATCTCAAACCTCTATCCATCAGCTATTTTCTGTTCCCTATTTCTCATGGTTTTCAAAACTACATACTTTGCAAAATCACATTCTACAAAACAGCTCAGCAGGATTACAAATAGCTCTGGTACATTTTGAAATCATCCTGTCTAAAACTTTGGTTCATGACTCTTTTATTCTGGGATCTGCTATCATCCAAAGGCCTTGTTGAATCTGATAGATCAATAGCCTATTTTTTCTTCCCACAGGTGTATGGGGGAATTGTATGAGGACAGCTCGCCTGAAAAGCAATCCTGGCATGGAAAGATATAGTCCGAGGAGTAACTCTTTGGTGGCACAGGATGCTTTCTTGTCACCCCCCCCCCCCCAAAAAAACAAAACAAAACACGGAACATCCGCGTCTGAGACCACAATCCTGCACGGAGAGAAATGCTAGCTTGCGAAAGGTAGCGAGAAGGCAGAACTGAGACGCGGCGCAGCGAGAGTCACTGCGCTCGCTCGAGCAAGTCTCGTATTCCACAGTGAGGGCCACGGAGGCGGTAGGGGACTTCTGGCTGCCTCTGGCTTACTTCAACCGCTTCTCCTCTCACAGCCGACTAAGGCTGCAGCTGTGGATTTTCCCATGTTAGATGCCAGGGATCAGCGGGAGAAGCCCGGCTACTTAGTCCGGGTCTGGTATGCCTCATGTAGCGCTACTCGCGCTGCTCCGACCCCGGGAAGGGAAGGGCCAATAGGATGGGGACCACGGTCTTTCTCGGAGCCCCATAATCTCTCGCTATGCCGGCACTTTCGGGAAGAAACGGGGACGTCTCGCCTCCTCGGATAGGCTAATTGCATTAGCCTAGATAGGCTGGCAAACGAGCCCATGTCTCCCGTCGGGCACGGTCCTAAGGGCAATAAGCCAGACTTCAGTTCCTTTGCCCTCCATTGGCAACTTCGGGCGGTAGACAGAGGAGGGCCACCCCCACCTCTCCCCCAGGAAAAGGAGCAGGGAAAATCCACGGGAAGTGTAATTAAATTGTCCGGAGCGGCGAAGGGAAAGCGGACGTGAAAAGTAGGTTCAGTAGCCCAGCTATAATTCGCTGGTGCGGTATTAGGATCTCATTAAACACAGGCTCCTTGGCACAAACGCTTCCAGGAGACATGTAATTTCATTACGCTCATTAGAAAGTCAAATGGTCGCCCGATTCGAGCGCCCTGAGTCGAAGTGACTGAAGGGCCCGTCGCTTTTGGCCGTGGTGTTTGCTTGTGGGGTGTTTGCAGAGCCCGTGCGTTGCACAATCCAACTACAGTCTTGTTACGGCCGCATCGCTTGCGGGTGTGGGGAGGTGCGCGCGCATGAGTGTGTTTTGTCATTCAGGGAGGGCCTCGTCATACCCTTTAGTCCAGAGCAGATCAAGCGGAAGAGCAGGCTGCTCGAGGAAAAACACACTCGTGCTCGCACGCCTTTCTCATATAACTCTTCTGGTTTGACTTGACAGGTCCCTTTAAAATCGATCTTCGAAAAAACTCCCAAGTCCTTTCGCGTTATTTTTCAGCTATTCACTCGAGGTGCAGATTTTTTTTAAAGCCAGAAAAATAATTTTAAAAATGTACTTCCACACATACACATAAGTGCATGGACACACACAATCCACATGCAAAGTGAGATCAATCTGTCTCCAGAGACCCGAGCCAAAGTGCTATTTAAGGCAGGCGCGGGAATTGCAAAATAAAAAACGCGAAACAAAGCCAGCTGGGTGACCTTGGGCCAGTCTTTCTCAGCCCAACTCACCTCACAGGTTTGTTGTGGAGAAAATAGGACAAGGAAGGTGTGGTGGATGTTTGCTGCCTTGAGTTATTTGTAAAAATAATAAAGGCAGGATACAAATAATATAAACAAATAAAACAAAACGAAGCAGCAATAGCTGTGTGTGTGTGTAATATTGTTTGATAGTGGAAGGAACAAGCTCGTGGGCTTGCATGATTGACAACTATTCAAACCTTTGAAACCAGCCTTCTCCCTACTCTTCTCTCCCGCCAAAATATTCAAGAGCAACAATAACGAGATTCATAGATAATCCCCTCCCCAACAGTCTGATCGGAAGTCAACATGTTTTGCTGAGAGGGCAGGGAGGGAAGGGGAGGAGGGGCGAAAAGTGAAGCACCTATAAAATAACTCATTAGTTGAAGATTTTAAACGTTAACGTTGGGACAATACTCAGGATCTGCGGTGTTGCAAAAGTTTTCTCCAGTTGGAATTGGCTTGAAAAGAGCAACAAGCAATTTTGACAAACATTTAAAACATTGAAAAATACTTCAGTTAATTCATTAGACACTATCAGATGAAAGTGATTTGCAATATGCTCAATTTCCCAATGGGCTAAAACGTCGCTCCAGAGTCTCACGCTTACAAGAGAGAGGTCGCGACTGCCTTTGTAGCAGCAGCAAATAATTTAAGTGTTGCTAAGATTCTAATTTCTAAACCTTTTCTACTTCTTTAATCAGACTACCCTTGCCTTTGAAAGCAACAGCATTTGTGATGCTCCTTTCATCTGAGAAGGAACCGCTGGATTGGACAAAAACAGGTCCAGAAATCCCATTGAAATCTCATGGCATAAAACTCTTTCCCCTGAAAAGCAAGGGCGGGCGAAACAGAAGCCGGCCCTCACGGAGACTGAGAACTTGCCCTTTTGGGATTCCCAGGCTTTCTAAGCTGCCAATATTGAGATTAAAGCCTGTGTTGGGTGTGAAACCTCAACTAGGCATGAACTCGTCCCATTTTCACTAAGGTCTTTAGCGGTGGCATCGAGGACCAGCTGCCAGGATGAACAAACACCAGTTGAGGGTCCCTGCTAAATCTCCTCTCACCCTCTCTGTCTGTCTGTCTGTCTGTCTGTCTGTCTGTCTCTCTCTTTTGTCTCCCTCTCTCCCCTCCCCTGAAGCCCGTGAGAATGGACCCACACTCATTCCACAACAAATAGCATTTTCTATATCTGGTAGCATTAGGAAGCAATGATTCCCACGACAGGATGTGAGGTCTGACTAACAGGTGCTTGGATTTGGCCAAGGGAGACAGCAGGGCTCCGAGATGGGAAAAGGCTTTTCTGCAAGCAGAATAAGGCTACCCCTTTTGCTTTTTACATGGCGTGGAAGTCGCAGACAATCAAAATGATATCTTTATTGCTAGGTTCATGTCCTGGGCTATAACATATCAATCCCTGTCGAGTTTCTCTTGGAAGCACCTGGTATTTCAAACTTGTTCTTTTTGTGTTTCTGGGTGCTGGACTGCAGCTGCTTAAAACAAGCACAGATTGAGAGAGTCCCTTACACTGTCTCTAAGACATGTTGGCATGGTTTGCTTGTCTTTAATGTACCATTAAGCATTGTCTTGACACAATATGGGAACTGTAAAGCATAGCATGCGTTATAATAAAACACATTTTCAATTATACACTTGCAGTAGGAGCTGAGATGCAAGCAAACAGACCCAACTGTTGTGTTTTTTGTTTTTGTTTTGGGCTTTGTTTTTGTCTCTCTGCCTTCAACTGGCAGTTAAACTTAAGACCATTATTTTCCCCCTCTCCTATCAGCCAATTAAATTTTGTGTCTTCTAATTTTTCACACACAAAAAAGTCTCCATGCTGGTTTCTAAAGACATTGATTTTCTTGCTATCACCTGGCGTTCAGACCTTAGTTCCATTTATCAAGAAGAGAAACATCAAGGTTGCATAAACTGACTCTGTTACCATAAGGTTCTCACCATCCTGGCCCATTGTTTTCCCTTTTAAATAACTCATTAGCAGGATTTAACAAATCCACCATTACATATGTTTTGTGTCTCCATATTTTGATCCGGAAGATTAAGCAGATGTTATGATTGAAAATTGAAAAGTCCAAGGCTACTCTCGGCTGAAAGAACGAGGGCAGCCTCAAAGAACAAGCTAACAATGAGATTCAGATCTTCAGAAAAACATTTACGACCAATAAACAGACTCCAACTTGCTCCATTTCAACCATTGTGTGCCTGGGGAGATTAATTAAGTTTAATAGGGAATAGGTCTACGGGGTTTTCAATGCCAAGATCACAGGTGCGGGGTGGCATGCTGAATGAGTCGCCTGATTTTGCCAAGCTCAAGGGCCCTTCTCTGGGACTTGCGAGCGGGGAGAAAACACTTTCATTTTTAATTCACAGCATTACTTTTAAGGTAAACAAAGGAGCGGGGGGAGGGGGTTGGGTTGGTTTAGATGAGCGGCTGGGAGGGTCCCGGCTGAAGACGCACACGCGTCCTCATTTTCCGCTAAAAGCTCGGGGGAGTGGGCAAGAAGCCGGCTCGCGAGGCCCCGGGAAGAGGAGGACCCTCTGCCGGAACTTTTAAGTTATCTTTTCTTGCTCTTAAAAGTCTTGGTCTGCTGGAAAGAGGCTGCCAAGAAACGGTCTCCGCCTGCCTGCCTGCCATCCTTGCGCATGGAAGTCTCCAAGAGGGGGCCCCGTTATCTCGGGCCGACCTGAACGAAGAGGTGGTTCAGTGGCTGAGGACAGCCCGAGGGAGCGGCAAAGGGGAGAACGTCATCACCGTGTCGGAACCTATTCTTAGGCGGCATTCTTAGGCAGAAGGAAAAGAACTGGATCTTCTTGTTAGAAACCATCTTGTCGGCAGCACCTGGCAAGCTTGTTCCACCACCGCTAGGGTTAGAGGTACCCAGGAACACGGTGGCCTTTTTGAAAAAAAAAACAAAAAACCTCAGCCTACATTCCGAACTCCAGGAAATCTCTCCGAGCCTCCGGGTTCATTAGCTGTTCTGGCCACCCTTCCGATTCCTCTTCCCTTCCCGCGCATCTGCTTTGAGGCAATATGGTGAGCTGAGCGCTTGTCACGATGTCAGAGATCTGTTTTCCATATCAGAGTCTTCCTAAAGCAGGCCGAGCTTGCCATCCCGAGCCGAAGTAACAAAGCAACCCACCTCTTCCGGGGAACGTCCTTCGAGAGATCTCCCCCTTTGTCTTAAGGCAAACAGGTGACTCTTACCATGTCCGGTGCCCCGGTCACTGCGGGCTTTGGCTATTTCTTTAGACTTCTGCCCAACCCATTAGCATGAGGAGAGCGAACGGGAGCAGAGAAGCTCCTGGTTAGGTCGGGAAGGAGGGCAAGAGGAGCCGAAACAATGCCCTCTCCTGCACGCCCGAACGCGTCCCCGCCACCGGACAAACCCAGCCGAGTCTTCCGGGCTGGTTGAGGTTGGCACACGCTGTAGCAATCAGTCGGGGCATTGGCATATTTCCCAATCAGTCTTTTTTTTTCTGGCAGGTTTGGGCCATTCTCGGTTTCTGAAGTTTGCTGCGAGTTTTCAGGGGAACGGAGAAGAGGGGGGACGAGGAGAAATCGTGCCCTTTGTGGCGCTTAGCGAGGAGGGCCACAGAAAAAGCACTCAGCCACCAGCGAAGGAATGGAGGACCAGCTTTTTCTGGGGAGCGAGCGTGGCTCCTTATTTTACTTATTTTTTTTGTTAAATTTGTTTGCCACCCATCTCGCTGCAAGGCGACTCTTATACATGAAAGCTGGCTAAATGACACTTCAGTTGGCAACAGCCCGTTTCCACGTTGGTGTAAACAATTTGGGATTTTGTCAAAGTTTGTGTTGTGGAAGGCAGCTCCTTTAGCTAGGAGCTCAATGGGCACCCACCAGAAACGTAGAAAAAGGCCCTCTTCACAGCCCTTTCAAGAAAAACGTAAATAGTTGTCAAAGTGGACGAGGCTGGAAGAGAAGGAGGGGAGCCTTGAATATGGGTAAGTTTTGAAAGTGTAGAATGAAGTTAATAACTATGCACAACATCCCAGTGACGATGTATTTCCAAGTGGTGTCAGATCATGCACAACGACAGTTAACCTTTCGGCGGGGAGCCAGAGTTGGCCATTTGACTGAATTAGTCACAAAGGCGTCTTGCTATGACTTTTGTTCCTCGCCAAAGCCAAGAAATATTGCGTTAAATATGAGAAGGATTATCCGCAGCTTTCCTGTGCTCCTTCAGAAAAGATGGCCAGACTGATTTGAGGGGACTTATTTCTCTTGGTCACATACCCCCAGACCAGGGCATATGGAGGTGCGCTTTTAACAGAGTGCCTCCTTCCAAAGTGGAGCGCTAATTCCAGGTATAACAGCAGCGAATTTATCAACCTTTTCAGGATGTGACACCACTTGAAAATATAACGTCACTGGGATGATTTGATAGATTAGCTGAAGGAGCCTAGCCATTCCAAGGTGAAGTTGAAGATTGACATTTGGTGTTTAACTGATTTTTTTTAAAAGGGCCAAACGATGGCTGCCTGTTAACTTGGGTCTTTGTTCTGGAGAGGAATCCCCTTAAATGCTTTTCTTATCTCTCTTTGGGGCGAGGACAAGAGCGATTTTTCTTTTCTGATTTCCCCTCCTCCCTTTATGCTTTTCCATAAGAGCACCAAATCTAAAGAGTCAAGAAAGGTTCTTGGGGATAGAGTGCACTTTTGTCCTTCTCAAAGGTGCCCACTTTTTTTCTTTCATTTCTCAATGCACAACCAGTGGTTTTTCCTTCTGCATGTTTTTTTTACCCCACAAATTGGAATCCCAAAGGTTTATTTGTGGCACAACAGCAGGGGATAGAAACTGTTGCCAAAGACTTCCTCTTTTTAGTAACCTTGAACCTGTTGTCAAAGTCTCTCTGAACTTCCCTTTGCCTTGCTAAATATTTTCTTTTGCCTCTTTACAAATGTCTGCTCTAGTCTAGGTTCCACCCCTCATTTCGTTTCCTCTCCTTTTCTCTCTGAGATGGTTGATATTTGTTATTCAGCCCAACTTTTATTTATCTTGCAAAAAATGTTGGAGGGCTCAGATGTGATAAATAGCAGATATGCAAATCACACTGAATGGTCTTGTAAGCGTGTCTCTCTAGAGATGAAGCCTTGCAAGCTGGTCTGTATGCTCAGGACCCCAGGGAGTTGATCAAAGGACACGTTCTCTTTCATCCCCTGTATTCTCTTCTAAACTATTCCGATACAATGTGTTTCCATAATGCCCTTAATGGGCTTGTGACACATAACTTGTTACAACCTAGCTACTTTTGCCAACCTCTTTGTTCAGAGGCAGAAAGTTAAGAGGGAAAAAAAGTGGGGGGAGAGGGAGACTCCGCTGGTTGTTGCCAGTGAAATCCTAAAGCATGCATCATTTTTCACTAGAGCTCTTCTTCATATCTTCAAAAGAGAAACTATGAAACCAGCTTGCCTTTTCTAGGATTAATTACACTGTTATCCAGGCATTTCTCTGCAGGGTTTTTTTTGCAAGGTAATATTCTTATCTATGGATGCATTTTTATCAATATGGGGAAAGTGAGAATGAATGTTTCCTATTTCTGTGTTCACTTTCCTATTTAAACATCAGGGATGTAGAAATCTGTAACCCTGTAGAGTTTAAAAAATGAACACAAAATACACATTACACCAAATTTAATTCCAAAATTAGTTTAAAGTAGATTAGCCAATCTTAATTTTAGAAGCAGAACTTGGATGAAAGTGAAAAACTTGGTTAAAATTTTCAGCAATTCCAAGCCAACTCTCCCCCAAATAAGTTGCAGTGCTCATGCCTCCCCCAGTAGAGTACGATAGGAATGTCGGGAAATGCAATTTTGTTCTTGATATATAGTGGTAAAGCAAAAGACTATTTGCAAATATAGGGCCAACATGACAAAACTCAAATACTCCAGATAGTTTCAGTTCAAATGGCACCTATTCAA